CCTTAAATCCTCACACAACCCAAACTTATCCTATTCATAGTGCTCAAATGAGGTCTAAACTTGTGGTAGATTTTCACACTGTAATCATCATCCTTGTTTTCCTACTGCCAGGATTAAGAATCGGAGCTTTCCCCAGCTGTAGCCAGGCCAAATCACCTTGCACAACCTCTTACTGCTGGGTTCCCTAAACAGCATCGGGTCTTAACCCTTGCATGTATGAGAGAGACCGACCTACACAGCTGGTACAGAATTAATTATTCTTCTATAATTTATCAGCTCCAGAATAGCTTTCCTTGTGTAGACACCCTATTCTGGGATACAGTGTGTTTTTATTCAAGGATAATGCCTGCATTTCCAGAGCAAAATAATTATTATGAATAGAGCCATTTTTGTAGTGGAATAATGTACATGTGTAGTTTGGTCTTTATGGTCTTTAGTGAGGGCTGGTGGGAAGGGCTGGTGATTTCTCTCCTATACAGACAAGCCATTGATTGCCTCTGTATGAGTCATGGATAACATCATAGTACTTACTGGCACCACATTACTTGAAATTATTCCTCTTTTACAAAGAGGAGTGTCTGTATGATCTCACGCTACAATTCTGATGATGCTGCAGAAAAGATGAATTTCAACATCTTCACAGTTTTTCCACAGGTGCAGGACTGGCTTTCCTGTTTGTTTTCAGAGAAGAAGGATATTGAAAAAGTTGCAATTTTAAATGCTTCTTGTTCCTCGCACCTCCAACTTCAGAATTACTGAGGGCTTAGGGAAGACTTGGCTCCTATTAAGTAGTTAGCTAAAGTAGGGGGAAGATTTAGATGTGAAATTTGGATTTATGCTCCAACAGGAGTTATTTTCCTTTTTAGTTAAAAAATGGTTAATTTTAAAGATTTTCCTCTTATTACAGCTTAACATAGATGCATTAGTTTCAAATGCTGACCTGCCACTGCTACCACTTCCTTCTAGTAGGATACTTGTTTTGTTTCTTATTAAAATGTATGAAATCTAAGAAATGTACCTTGGATAAAATCTTGAGTTACACGAATGGCAGATTTTTATTGCAGAGTGTGACCTACAGCTATCGCTTTGCGTGTGTCTTAGTCCTGTGCAGCTTTTTATGACATCAGTCCAGGGTCAAGTGAGATTAAAAAGAAAAGCAATGGATAATTTTATGGATAAATAAAAAAAAAAAATCAAGACAATAGAAAGGAAGCATTGGCTGAGGTCTGAGCTGGTCCTAGTAAGGACCAGGATGGGGATCTCCCTGATGCACAGCGTTGCACGGTTGGTTATGTGCACAGTGGCTTCCTCTCTCTCTCTGCTCTTCAGAAACATCAGGAGGGTGTTTCCTTTCTGTCTGCACTCTCAGAGTTTGCAGGTGGAACTGGGCTATGAGGCTATTGCCCAACTCTGGAGAGAGGCGTTTTGGTGTAAAATGGGAGCGATGAGATTTTACAAGTTGACTTGTTGCTCTGGGGATCTTGGTATGTGGCTGGTCCAAATACATGTTTTAAAAGGGGCAAAGCGCCTGCTGAAAAACTGTTACAAGGTGAAAGTTATTTTAGAACTTCAAGTTAAATATCTCAAGTCGTGTCCAACAACGTGTTATTTCCCTGTGTCTCCCCTCAATGCCCCTAATGGCACAGCAGTCTGAGAAACAGACTGCGTTGAGCCTTTGAGATAGCGGGGTGTTGGCCTGCCATTGTATGAAGTATTTCTTTTTAGATGTTCCTACAGCGTCATAAAATGCTGCTAAATTCAGATATCATATTTTGTTGCAGGCTGGTTCTAGGACAAAGCCCAGCCCTGTCTACTGGTGTTTATGGCTTCCCATATAAGCTTTCAGACAAAATTTGTGTCTCATTTTGTTTGAGTTACAGCAGGCTGATATCCTAGTCCTCGCACCAGTTCTGAGAAGAGGCACTGAATGTTGGCACTGTAATGAAACGGAGGAAAGGGAAAAACGTATCTTTTAAACTTCCTGTAAATCACTACTTGAGAGAGAGAAAGTATCTGCATAAAGGATGGGGTGGGGGGAAGTCCTATAACGTAAACACAAATGCATTTAAGCTTTGCCTCATTTTTAGTTCCTCTTTAGGCTCAGGAACTATGTCAGTGTTTAAATTTCCTCTGCAATCTGGTGTGTCTTGGAAGAAGGCAAATATTAGCTCTTCTCCCAGAAATCAGAGGGTACTCTTGCTGCTGTGTGTCCTTTGCTTATCTGTACCGTTGCACAATTTTTATGATAAATGCAATTCTCAAAAGTATTGCTTTCAAATGTAGTTCCATTTATCTACAATTAATCCAGGAAGGTGCTTGTCTGCATTTGACTTCTCAGTGAAGAAACAACACCCTTCCTCCCCTCGCTGCCTTGTCTTTCACAGGAGCAAAGTTCACTTTCAGCAACTGAGTTGTGCAATTGCACAACGGCCTGGCAAGCCATGCTGTGTCAAGGTGCCCTATAAATAGCAGAGCAGTAATGGAGCTGCTAAAACATCCCTTGGTGACTTCAGTTCTAGAATCAGCATTGATTCTCCTTTCTCCCTTCTCCTCCTGCTATGAGCAGGACAAGGTTTGACCTGCACTGTGTTTCCTGAGCACTTTGTTATTCCGTGGTGGGATAAAAGCGTTGGGGCTCCCACAGAGCAGCACAGCAAGCAGTAGTGGGGCATTGCCTGACCCCTGCTAAACAGTGGTCACCAGGCACTGCTCTTTGCTTCCATCCCTGTTGTAGGTTGCTGTGGGTTCCTTGCCTCGTGCAGCCTCCTGTGCCTGGTGCTGACGGGCAGCGGTGTCCATCTCTGCTACGCAGCACCTACTGCTTTGCGTGGTGTCTGTCTCACCTGTGCCTCCTGCCTCTTACACTGCTTGTAGCTTGGTTAGCCTCTTGTCTGGAGAAACTACCTCTGTCGTCTTCCAGAATTGCTTACTACCACTCACAGCCTGTGACTTCCCGCAGAGAACTGAGGTCTTCAGTTTCTGCATGCCGTAGGGAGTGTGTCAGCTGCCCATTGTCCACATCTGAATGAAAAGAGATGTGGAAGGGAAGGGCTAAAGTCAATTTTCTCCACTAGAAAATTGGTTGTCTCCTATGTGAGCTATGATACCATAGCAAGCTGGCCCAGGTCAGTGCTCACACGGGGAAGGGAGGAGAAAGCTTCTCATCATCTGGGTTTCTGCATTTCAGCTGGGTGCCCAGGTCCGTGGCTGCGTGCGGCTGGGGGAAGGCGTTGGCTGTACTGATGTGTTACGAGAGATGGGCTGAAATGGTTATGCACGGGAATAACAAACAAGAGGACACCCAGGTGGGGCGATTGCATGGCAGCTGCTCTGCAATTGCATTTGCTTGTGGAGCTGAGAGAAAACCCGGATCTGATCCCCATGTGGAGTAGTGAGAGAG